CATGACCTATGGCTATTGAAGTGAAAGGCCTCTAAGTCCATTCACCCCTTTGCCTCACAGTAAACACTTCATATGTTGGCTGTTGGGGAAAGAGTTGTAGGGAGTCCCATGGAAAAGAAGAACTTGGAATCAGAGAATAAGAAAGCTCAGGGGTGCTGGAGGAGGCCCTTGTGACCTTGACCATGCATGATGCCCAGACCAGCTAGAACTTTTTCCTCTCTTTAATATATTTAAGTAGAGTCAACATTGAGGTCAGCTTGAAGCACAAAGCTTTCTTCAGCCCTAGAGGCCACTCTGCACAACTTCCCAAGCCCAGTGTCCTGGATAACCGAGGCTCAGAGGGCTCTGGCCAGACTGCATGGAGGTTGGCTCTGTTCTGGAGCCTGTGCTCAGACGCCAGAGTGTAATACTTGGTTCCCACGTCCTCTGAGGATGCGCAGTGGCAGAATTGGGGTGGAGGAGTAAGGACAAATCCTCCCCTCTCTGTTTGTTTCCCTGTCCCCAGATCTCTCTCCCTGATTCCCTTGTGCCTCTAAGGTCCTCAGGGGAGGATGTCTCTGGCTCCTCTTCCAGGCCCAGCTTCACTCCCCTCTCCCTCCTTCCCTGGGGGTCTCCCCAGCTGAACCCCTTTGGCAGTCCCACCCCCTCGGATGACTCCCAAATCGGAATACCAGCTTCAACTTCTCTCCAGAGGTGTGGGATAATTCTTCATCATCTTTTTCAATATTACTACTTTCTGTTACTTGCAAAACTAGTACATGTTAAAGGCATGAATTTTAGAAAATATAAACAAATGCCAGAAAGAAAAAAATTAATTCTTCGCAACCCCAAACCCTGCAACAATCCCTGATGATTCTTTCCCTGAGTCTTTCTTGCCTCTTGACACAGAGGCATGAATATATTTTAGTTTCTAAAATGTGGTTCCATTCTCCCATTTGTCCTCCCTCAAAACAGTTTATCACCATCTTGTCTTTGTGTTACTAAATGTTATTACTCTCTATGACATTTTACATGGCAGCCTGGTGTCTTATCAGGTGGATAAACCATAGGGTCTTTATTTACTTTTGTTTTGTGGAACATCTAAATTAACACCTATTTTTTGGTCATTTTAAACAGTGTTGTCATAAAATTCTTACAGCTACCTACTTACAATTATCCATGATTCCCTTCTTATGGTAAATTCCCCAAAACTTTGATTGCTGGGCTAAAGGACTTGTGCTCTTTAACACTTTCGATGCGTTTTGCCAAGCTGTTTTTCAAAAAGTCTTGACTTTTTTACCTTCCCATTAAAAGTGCAGGTAGTTTGGGGAAGAGGGAGGCTTATCTGGTATTTGGTAATTCTAAGGGTTTTTTTATTTTAATTTGCATTTACCAGATTTCTAGTGAGGTTAAGCCTTTCACTGTGTATTAGTTTTCTATTTGCATTAATTCTCCTGCAAACAGCTTATAAATGAGATCCTTTGTCCAGCGTTACATGGGGAATGTTCTCTTTCTTATAGGTTTACAAGAGCTCGGTCCCTAACCCTTGCCTACCGTATATGTTAGAACACACTTCTTGGTTTTTCGCTTGCCCCTCACATTTGTTTATGGTATTTATTGACTGGAACTGCGTTAATGTCTGCTTGCTAGACATCTTGTCATATATGACTCAATGACATTTCAGACTCCACAGATCCAAATTGAAATTCATTATTTCCCCCCACCCCAACCTGCGCTTCCTGCTGACTGGCTTATTTTTGTTAATGTCATCACCATTTCCCTAGTCACCCAAGCTTGAGATGTTGCAATCATCTTAGCTTCCAGCTCCTCTCCCTTCCCTACATTTTGTCAACTGCCAACGCCTGTATCTTCTATTTCTGCAGTTTCTCTGGCAGGCAGCCCCTCTGATACCCCGAGAGTCCAGGCTTTCATTATTTCTCCACTGGACTTTGAAAACAGACTCTGAATTGCCTTGCTTCCCCTATCCCAGTCCCCGAACTCTTTTCTCCTCTCTAACCCCACCCGGACAACATTCATCTTCCTAAAGCAGAGCTCAAACCCAGAAATCCCTGCCTACAACCTGGAGACAGCTCCCCATTGTCTTTTGTATTTAATTATAACCTCTTAGCCCCGCCACAATTTCCTTTCAGCTCAATCTCCCACTATTTCAGCCCAAACAAACTTAAGGCTTTCCCACTTCTTCACTTTGTTGCTCAAGACGTCCCCTCCTGGTAGGATTCCCTCCCACCATCTGCACTACCAAAAGCCATTCAACCCACCCATCCTCACCCCCCCAACCTTACCCCACTACCAGTTGTTGGGCTTCCTGACTCTTTGTATTGAATTCTCTCTCCTTTGAATCCCCAGAACAATCGAACTTGTCTTGTGGGACAAACATCATTCTAACCTCTAGTGGAGCTGCTGGGGGTTCTTAGGGTCTAGAAAGCAGTGTCCTTGGAGGTCTCTGTTTCTTTCACAGGCTCTGCACAGTCCCTTGCTGTCATAGACATTGAGTAGGTAGTTTGGGAATTAAATGCAACACCCCACATAACCAAATGTGCAGAGATCATGGGCCACCACCACTTCCCACCCCTTCCCAGCCTGCTGGGAGAGGGTGCACCTGTTAGCCTTTGGGCAGAGCATCAGCCCCATCTGCAGGAGGTGGAGCTGGGCTGGCAGCCTTCAGGATGAGAGACTGGACTGCCATCACCTCTTTGTCCCCGAGACCTGTAGCTATTGAAGTGAAAGGCCCCCAGCTCCATTCACCCCTCATGTAATGCATGGCATATGTCAGCCACTTCATGAAGTGGCTGTTGGAGAAAGTCTCAAGGAGCCCATGGGAAAGGGGACCTTGGAGAAGAAGACAGCTTGGGGTGCTGGAGACCCTCTGACCTTGACTGTGCATGAGGCCTGGACCAGCTGGGACTTTTTCCTCTCCTTAATATATTTAAATAGAGTCAATATTGGGGTCAGCTTCACGCAGAGAGCCTTCCTCGGCTTTAGAGGTGATTCTGCAGCCTGCATGGGAATGTGCAATTGACACAATCTATTTTTAGCCTCCCAGAAACCGTGACCAACATCCAAGCTGAGGGTGGGCACACCTGCTGCATTCTAATGAGACATACATCCCTGCTTGCCTCTGCCAGCCTGCCCGGGATCTTGCCGACCTGAACTCTGATGTTGCTAAACTGGGAAGTCTGCTTATTTCCCAGGGGTGGAAGCCTAGATACACTGGGAAATGGGACCATCATATTCCCCCCACCCCTGCTCACTCCCCTCCAGTCCTGGACACAGGATGGTCTTGGGGCTGTGCCCAAAGCATGATGGAGGGAATGGGATCATGTGGATTTCTTGATCTTGCTTCATCCTAGGATTTCCCTGTTTCCCTTGCTAGAAAAGAGATAGTAAGTCTGAGCTGACCCAGTTCACGAATGAGGAAACTGAGACATAGAATAAAACCATATTTATTAGCAGTAATAAAGTATTTACTATGTGCCAGTGTTCTAAAGTCTTTCTGTGTATTAGTTCACCCAAATTTCTTGACAATTCTTTCAGGTAAGTTTTACTTTGACCTGTATTTTACAGAGGAGGAAACTGCCACGCCAAGTGACTTCCCAAGGTCACCCAGGCAAGTAGTGGCAGAGTTGTAGGTTCTGAGTCAAGCAGGGTGACCCCAGGGTTTGCTCTCTCAGTCACTCTGCTGTCTGCCTCTCAGTGTCTATTTTTAATTTTCCTAGAGTCAGGGTAGGTTCCAGGAACCCTGACTTCCAGCCCCAGGGGACCAACGACTAGATAACAGTCCTTTAATTTTTAAAATTCTGCCCTGCTTTGAGGCCTTTCCTCTGCCTTGCACATTTGGGTCCCCTACACTCTACGGAGACTCCTCTCCCTGGCATAACTGTGCTTCTGCAGTGGTGTTCAAACTTCTGGGCTCCAGGAGCTCTCTGGGCCTCCATCCCCTTCTCCCTTCTCTCTATAACCTGTGGAGGAGCAGGGGGCAGGGAGGGGCAGCAGCTGTGGGTTTAGAGCTGGGCTGGGTATCAGGATTGGCACAGAGGCAAGAGGTCAGCCTTCAGTGTGGGCGGCCACAGTGTTGAAGTTCAGGGTAAAACTGTGAGTCAGAGACCAGGCAGGCGAGACAACAGATGGGAGACCTCAGCACCTGTGATGCCCATAGTTTGGAGGCCCAGTCCTATGTTAGCTGGATGCTACCTGTTGAGTGAAGAGAAGCCCATGGGCTTGATCTTCCTAAGAATGCAGGTGGGACTCATTTTAGTTTAACAAACACTATGTGCCTCGCCCTTTTCTAAACACTTCAAAATACTAACTTGTCTAACCCTCAGGACAACTCTAGGAGATAGGGACTGTTTTATTCCCATTTTATTTTATGTTATTAATTAATTAATTTAGATAGGCTCTCTCTCTGTCCCCCAGACTGGAGTGTAGTGGCATCATCATTGCTCTCGTTTCAAGTGATCCTTCCACCTTGGCCTCCCGAAGTGCTGGGATTACAGACATGAACCACCACATCTGGGCTTTATCTCCATTTTAGAGATGGGGAAACTGAGGCACTGAGAAGTTAATAAATTTGCCCACGGTTATACTACTAGTAAGTGGTGATCTGGGACTCAAGACTCAAGGAGACTGACTCTGGAATCCACACTCTCCACCCCACGCTGAGCTGTATACCTTTCCCTTTGTCGAGTGCTTCCTGTCTGCCTCTAAAGGAAGATGTTACCCTCCCCATTTGACAGATATGGAAACAGAAGCCTAGATGGCTGAGGTCACCCAGTCAGTAAGAGCTGGAACCGGGTGAAATCCAAGTTGACGTGGCTCCTAGAAACCTGTCACCTCCCCACAAACCGCAGCTGTCAGCCTGGCTGCTGGGGGTTAGAGACTCACCTACCCTGCAGGAAGGTCTGCTGCAGCTGGCCAGGGCCGGGCTCAGGGAGTGAAATCTCTGCGGGTGGGACCTCATCGCCTCTGCTAATGTGGGCCCCCCTTCCTTCTCTTCCCCTCAGGTGAGCAGTCCCCCCTCCCACCCCCCTCAGCCTGTCGCCCCACCCAAGCCTGTGCAATGTGTCCACCATGTGTCCACTCAACCCAGCTGCCCAGGGCGAGGCAAGATGTCCAAGCTGCTGAACCCAGAGGAGATGACCTCGAGAGATTATTACTTCGACTCCTACGCCCACTTTGGAATCCATGAGGTAAACTAAGGCATCCGGAGTGGGTGGCCACATGGGTGAGGTTGGCCCTGCTGTCTTGTTTCAACTCCTTATCATCATCATGTGAATTCTCCCAAGAATCCCTGACCCTTTCACCAACTCATGGGCCCCTCTGGGAGGAGCTCAGGCCAGTCCAGGGCAGGTGAGCAGGTGATCCACAGCCAGAGTGAGAGCCAGGGGTGCTTAGGGTTTATTAGTTTTGCATTACAGCACCGTCGTCTCTGCCTGACTATACACCCAGCTCTCCAGTGTGGGCTAGGTGGAGATGGTCCTTGCACCCGGACCTCCAATGCTTACAGCCAGAGTCTTGAGGCTGCAAGGACCTTCTGCAGGGTCAGGATGCCCATTCCTTAGACCAGTGATCATCTCCAGGGGAAGCTTCCTTGAGGTCCTGGCCTAGCTCTGACACCTTGATGGATTCTCTGGAAATTCTCATGTCTAAATGCCTATCTGACATCAAAGCAGGGAACAAAACAGAGCTTTGTAACCAGGGGCTTCCTCCAGCACTCTGGAGCTACCCCAAACAAACAACTAGCATTTACTGAATGCTTGCTGAGTGCCAGGCACGTGCTGAGCGCATTACATGTATCATTTCATTTAATCTTAGTAAGAACTCTCTGAAGAAAATATTTCCACCATCTCCTTATAGTGTGAAGAAAATATTGAAAAAGGGAAAAAAGTTGCTTGCTATGCAAATGCATTTTCCAAAGAAGTCTTGAAGCTCATCCTTCTAATCAGACGCAGATGCTGCTGTCAACTCGTCCCGTATCAAAATAACCACAAAGTCATTGCTGAAGAGTGTTTAATACTAATGACCAGCTCTTTTATTTTTATTTTTTAGTGATTACTACCTGTTGGATGTTGTTCTAAACATTCTATTATTATTGGCTCATTTATTCTTCAGGTCAACCTTGTGAGGTATCAGTATATTGGTATTATAGTTTGTCCCCATTTTACAGATGCTCTGGACTTGCAAGAATCAGATTCTTGCTGTTTCCTTTGCACAAGGCCATGAACTAGTAGACAGCAGAGCTAGAAAGTAAACTTTCCTCACTGTTTGGCTCCAGGGGCTTCAGTCCTAACCATCATGACATATAGCCTTTAAACCAAGATTCCTTTATTTTTTTATTTCTGAGAACCTTAGGAATCAAATTACCTTATTTTTTCCTGCTGGTTCCTTCGTTGCCCACAGGGAGGTAGAGGGTGGAAGAGGGGCCCCTCAGCTACTTTTAGATTTGGAGGTTCAGCTTTATTTAATCCAGGGAGACTCGAAGTTTGGTACCCTGAGATATGCTCTCTGAATAAAACCACTAGGCCTGGGGCCTGCAGGGGAGGGACCCTGGGGCCTGTGCTCTGTTCTGAGAATCCTGGCCTAGGTGTGGGGGGGGCCTAGGCAGCCACGCCTGCAGCTCTTAGGAGACAAAATGCCATCTTGCCTCCTTGACCAACTCCCCATTGGGGTGGGTGTGGGGATGGTGGGAGGAGCTCTCTCCTTGGCCTCCGAGGTGCTCTGGGAGGCAGAAGAGACTCCAAGAGACTCCTCCTTCTCAAGATCCTTCTAATTGAAGAGCATGTCATCCATGTGATAAGTTCTAATGGACCTGTGGCTCTGGGTACCCATTTTAGGGAAGATTCCTAGGAATAAAGGATAGTTCCAGAGGCCCCCTAAAATGCCTCTCCATGGGCCTGTATTAAAACTAACCCTTTAGAAACCAGCCTACCGACGATGTGCACTTCAAGCCTGGCCTTCCCTAGACTTCATACTCACCTTCTCACATGGAGCCCGCCACAGATCGCTTCTCCAACACCTCCCTCTGAGATGCTAAGTCCTTACTGAGCCACACCTCTGGCTTAGAATGTGCTCGCTTATGCTGTCATTGATCTCTATAATTCCTTCAGGACTTAGTGTCCCCAGTCTGTAACCCAGTCATTGGCACATTGCCTGGTTTGCAAAGGCCTGCTAACATGGCAGCTGATCTAGGTCAGCACTGTCACCCAGCCCCCAGAAGGGCACAATTTCCAATTGAGGGAGGACACCAAGGACCACCAAATAAACACTAGGCTGGGTTCCCTTGATATTGTGTGTTGGTAGAAAAGTCAGATTTGTGCTTAAACATATATAAACAGGACAGATCGAGCAGGGGACTTAGAGTGACCTGTGAGTCATAGATAACATTCCGTCCTGTGAGAGTCCTTAGCAACCTTCTCATTGGGAAGCACTTCTGGATGCCTAGTTTAAATCTTTGCTGCTGCTGTTGCTGCTATAGGCCATCTTATAGGTCCTTTAATATAGGGGCAGCTAGATAACATTTCCTTCACCCCTAGGTTTCCCTCCACCAGGTCATCTGGCATGAAAGAATGTAGGGAGCATGTGGATGGGCTCTTAACACTGTTCTTTGCAGAGAAAGGGCTGCTCACTCCTCATTATCGAGCACCAGGGATCTCTGTTCTGAGCCAGACGGCTTGCAGTGATGCCTTTGCCTCCCTGGTCCAGTTGAGACCCATTTCTCACCATCAGGAGCTGAGCTGTCCATTTGGCAGGCTTGTCCCCATCATTAACAAGATGCTCACACGGGCAGGCAGCAGCACCGCCAGCTTGCTGGTTAATAGTGATCAGTAAGTGTTGAGGGAACATGGCAAGGAGGGGTTGGGTTCAATTAGTCTGTAAATACAAACAGGCAGTGCTGAGTGTGTGTGGGGGGGATCTGCAGAGCAAGGCAGGAGGCAATTCTGGACGCTTCTCAGGCCTCGGCTTACCCAGAGATCACTGCATACAGAGGGCAGGGGCTGGGGAGGAGCAGACCATGGCCTTCTAACCCAGGCCTTTCTAAGGAGACAGAATCTTGGAGAGGAGCCGAAGTGATGATGTGTCCTTCACAAGCTCTCCTCCCAGAGAGGAGGGGGTGGGGTCTATGACCCCTGGATCCCAGCTCTGAATTCTCAGCTTCTCTGACAGAGGGCATTGGGCTTGGTGCCTCAACCACAAGAAGAATTCCTGTCGAGGTGTCTGTGCTCTCAGCCCCTGAGCCCTGGGTGCCTACCTCACTCTGGCCAGCTCCTTTCTTCTGATGACCTTGCTGCAGGTTCTTTTGAAATAGATCCTTCAGGGCTCATTTTCCAGCTCTTAGTTAATGTGCTGTCATGTGTTTAACAGGCAGGAAAAATGGGAGACCAAACCATCCACAGCTAGGGGCTGGGAATTGTTTTTAATAGAGTGGCCTGTTCTTATCTGAAATGTTTTTAGAGTTCTTTGGGCTATTCTTCCAGGAATGCTTCAAGCAGCGATGGAGGAAAGGGAGAGAGAGAGCTTTTTTTTTTTTTTTTTTTGGCAGGCTGGGTAGGAGAAGTCTTGCTAAGTCCCAACTTCTGTTCTCCCAGAACACATTATTCTGCCTAACTCCGGGATCTGTGACCTTAGGAAAGGAAGGATAGGCCAAAGAAGTAACAAAAAGCAATTGAAGGAGGGGCAATGAAAGAAATGCAAGACCTTTGTACTGGGAGAGCTCCCCAATAGCAAAAGCTGGATCTCCAGAGGTGGTCGGTCAATCCGATTCCATCCGAAATAGGCAATTAGGACTTTTCACTGTGGTTATGACTAAGTGATTTCTTAAACTATTGTCATTATTTTGCTTCCATTCCCTGCTCACTCTCAACCATTTCTTTGCATGGCCGAAGAAAAGGGTTGAAGTTATTACAAAGAACGAGAGCTAACATTTTTGTGAAACTTACTATACTATATAATCATCACAACAAACCCCATTTTCCAGATGAAGAAATTGAGGCACAGAAGGTGAAAAGATGGTCTGAGTCCGAGAGCTCAAAAGTAGTGGAGGTATGATTTGAATGCAGAATTTCAGGAATTGAATGCTCTGGAGTCTGGGTGTATAAAGCCTATGATGTGCTGTTTTCCTACTTACGGAGAACCTACTATGCACCATGCTCTGTGCCTGGTTCTGGGAAACTTTCGGTCTTGTGGGGTTTGGTCCCAGAGATCTCTTGGAAGGAGCGGCTTAAGCTCACTTTCGAAGTATTTAGAATGAGAATAGGACTCAATATAACTAAACCCCCCACCTTATTCAACTTCAAGTAAGGTAAAGGCTATCAGCTCTAGGGCAGTACAGGAAGTCGTGACTGGGCTTCAAAATGGCTCCTGCCGCCAATTCATCTTATGTATCTCACCAGAGTCTCCCTTGTGATCCATCCTAACTGGAAACATAAGAGAAAGAGAGAGAATTCTGAGAAATGTAGCCCAGCCTGACCAAGTTACAAAGCCACCACAACATATGTGCCCAGAACTCCAAAGAACATGTAGCAAAATCTATAGAACTAAAGGGAGAATTGTAATGAAATATTTTTAGCTCTTATCTGTTGGTAATTGATCAGGCAAATACACAAAACATCAGTAAGAATGTGAAAATTTTGAAAGATACAACCAAATAACATGAGCTAATTGACATTTATAGAATGTGGTTTTGTATCCCCAAACCATGGAAAACATGTTCTTTTCAAGTGCATGTGGAAACATTCACTAAGATCAGATCTTGAGCTGGGCCACAAAATAATCTTAGTAAACTTTACAAGGTTAAACTCATGCAGATTTTTGTTGTTGTTGTTTATAATTAATTAAATTAGAAAGAAAAAAATAATAAGTTGTTCAGAAAATCTCCAAATAATTGGAAAGTAAGCAACACTCTTCCAAATAAGCCATGGATCAGAGAATAGTTGCAAGAGGAATGAGAAAATATTCCAAACTAAATGATAGCAAAAACACAACATATTAAAATTTGTGGAATGCAGTTAAAGCAATATTTGGAAGAAAATTTATAGTTGCAAATACCTACATAAAGAAAAAGAAAGTCATAAAATCAATGATAAATGCTTCCACCTTATGAAGCAAGAGAAAGAAGAAGAAAGAAAACCTAAGTTGAGGAAAGGAGATATGTATAGTAAAGATGAAAGCGGAAGTCAGCGAAATAGAAGACAAACCAACAATGCCAAAGTTGGTTTTTGAAAAGACTAAACTAATAACACCCAGCAAGGCTGATTGAGGGCAAAAAGAAAACAGAGACAACACAAGTTATAGTAGCATAAATGGAGGCAGGGACATTTTTACAGATTGTTCAGACATTTAACAAGTAATGAGAGAATATTATGACAATTTTATGCCTAAAAATTTGACATCTTATTTAAAGTGGATAAATTATTTGAAAAAATACCTTGTCAAAACTGACATAAAATGCATAAAAACTTAAAAAAACTCTTTATTGATTAAATACATTGAATTCATAGTTAAAAGTCTTTCCATAAAAAGAAGTCTAAGCCCATACAGTTTTACTGGTGAATTATCACAAAAATTTAAAGAAAGGAAATACCAATCTCACCCAAACTTTTGCAGAAAATATATGAGGAGAGAGTATTTCCTAACTGATGTGATAAGATCAACATAACCTTGATTACCAGAGACGGTAAGAGAAAGTTACAGATCAACATTCCTCATAAATATAAATACTGACATGTGTGATAAAATATTAATAAAATTCAATAATATTTAAAAAGGAGAATATATCATTTAGAGTGTTGGGTCAACATTTAAAACTAACCTATGGGGTCCAACACCTTAACAAAATAAAGGAAAAAAGTCATATGTCATCTCAATAAATGTAGAAAAAGCATGTGACAAAATTCAGTACCAATTCCTGATACACATAAAAGCTCTTTCCAAGTTAAAAACAGAAGGGAACTTCTTCAGACTAATAAAAGGCATTCATAAAAAGCCTAAATTATGTTTAATGGACACATTATTGGAACAAAGGAAGGATTTCTGTCTTCTACAGTTCTATTCAGGATTTTACTTCTGGTCTTTGCTAGTACAAAAAACCAAGAGGAAAGAACAAAAAAAAAAAAAATACAAGGCATAAATACAGGGAAAAAAAGAAATGAAATTGTCTTTCTTCATAAGTAATAAGATTTTTCACATCTAAAAATAAAAGAATCTGCAAAAATAAAAACCCTACTAGAATCAATATGTAAAGTGAGCAAGGCTGCAAGATACAGGTCAATATGCATGTCAACCAACACGTTGTAAAATGAAAGTTTTAAAATACCATATACAGTATCATAAAATAAAATAGTCAAGAATAAATTTAACAAAAAAAGTGCAAGACCTTTGTACTGAAATCTACAAAACATTTCAGAGAATAATTGAAGGATACCTAAATAAATGGAGAACTATTCTTGGATTGTTAAACTCAATATTGCTAAGATGTCAATTCTCCCCAAATTGGTCTATAGGTTCAATACAATTGCAATCAACCTCAGGAGGCTGTTCTGTATGAATTCATAAGTTAATTCTAAAGTATATATGGAAATACAAAGGATCCAGAAAAGGCAAAATAACCTTGTTAAAGACAAACTATGTTGGAAGACTCACTAGTTTATTTCCAAGTTAATATACAGCTATGGCAATCAAGTCAATGTTGAATTGGAACAGACCAGAGAAGCCACATACATACAGTTGATTGCTTTTGACAAAGGTGGCAAGGTGGTTAGTTCAGTGGGGGAACTGTTTGTCTATTTAGCAAATGGTGCTTAAAATATTTATTTTTATGGCAAAAAATGAACTCAAACTCCTAACCTACATCATACATGAAAATTAGTTTGACATGAAAAAGTCACAGCTATAAAATTTTAGAAGAAAACATTCAATATCATTGTGATCTTAGGGTAGACAGTATACAAAAAAAGCACTAATCATAAATTAAAAAGAAACTGAAAAAATCATCTTTATCAAAATTAAAAACTGCTTTTCAAAAGATAACATTAGTAAAATGAAAGGCCAGGTGGAGGGTGGTGGCTCATACCTGTAATCCTAGCATTCTGGGAGGCTGAAGTGGGAGTATTGGTAGAGCTCAGGAATTTAAGAGTAGCCTGAGCAAGAGTGAGACCCTGTCTCTACTAAAAATAGAAAAATTAGTTGGGCATTGTGGCAGGCACTTGTAGTCCTAGCTATTTGGGAGGCTGATGGAGGAGGATCACTTGAACCCAGGAGGCTGCCATGAGCTAGGCTGATGCCACAGCATTCTAGCCTGGGGCAACAGAATGAGACTCCGTTCAAAAAAAAAAAAAAAGAGGACAGCGCCTGTGGCTCAAAGGAGTAGTGGGCCGGCCCCATATGCTGGAGGTGGCAGGTTCAAATACAACCCTGGCCAAAAACTGCAAAAAAAAAAAAAAAAATTAATAATATTTTTAATAAAATAAAAATAAAATAAATAAAATGAAAAGGCAAACCATAGGAAAAGATACTCACTATACACACATACGTGGTATTTCCAACAAAAGACTTCTTTTCCAGAATGAATAAACTCCTACAATTCAATAAAGATGAGACAAATAATTCAAGAAAAAAATGGGCAAAGAACTTTAATAGACAGGTCACAAAAAAGATAATATAGCGAATGTTTATTGCAATAAAACTATTTACATAGGCTTATTGAATAGCCAATAACCCTATGAAAAATTATCTATATCATTAATTATCAGAGAAATGCATTTAAAACTACAATGAGACACCATTTCATATCTGCTGGAATGGCTACAGTTAAAAAGGCGAGTAATACTAAGTTGCCAAGATGTGAAGCAACTTGAACTCATACATTGCTAGTTGGACCATAAAATGGTACAACTATTTTGGAAAACGTTTTGGCAATTTCTTATGGAGTTAAATATATACTACCCTAAGCAAGTAAGAAAACTTATTTCTAGGCATTTACCCAAGGGAAATGAAAATGTACATCCTCAAAAATACTACATGAGAACGTTTGTAGCAGTCTTGTTCATAACAGCAAAAAACTGGAAACAATCCTAATAGGCACCAGCAAGTGAAAGGATAAATAAAATACACTGTAGTATGTTCATACAGTGGGATGGTATTGAACAAGAACAACCAAAAGAACAAATCTTATATCCAGGCAATAACATGAATGAATCTCAAAAACTTTATGTTGCACAAAAGAAATCAGACAAGTGTACACATTGTGTGATTCAATTTATATGAAGTTCTAGAATGGGCAGAAGGAAACTTTGGTGATAAAAATCAGATCATTTGTATTATAGGGTGGGGCTGAGGATCAACTACAAAGGAGCATGAAGAACTTTCAGGGATGATGGAAATATTCTGTGTCTTGGTTATGGTGGTGGTTACACAAGTGTACGTTTGTCAAAAACCTTGCACTGCACTGAACCACACACTTAATTTCTGTGTTTTTTGTTGTATGCAAATTATACTTTGATGAAATTGATTTCTAAAAAAATATCACCCCAACACTTTTGGTGATGAGTTAGTCAAAAGTGTTCTCTAATACCCTGAATGGCCAAAGATCCCTACCTTACCGCCATACACAGATTAATCATGCTTTCCTTGGGTTGTCAGAGACAAGTATAATATGTAATCTGGTTTCTCTCTCACTACAAAGCATTTATACTGGACAGGGGAATATATTTTCTAGTCTTAAAAACAAGCAAACAAAACAAAAATTACACTCACAAAAGCCTCCTTTAATAACCTGTTCAATGGCAATTTTCTCACCATGACAGAAGGGTCTGCTTCAGGTGTAATTTAAATCTTTCATGTTGTATTGTACTGATCTTTCCTTTTGTTCTTTGGTAAGTTGGAACTTTCCCAGGTTTGGACTTGAGTTTCTCTTCACACAGTACATAGTCATCTTTGTGGGCAGAGTTTTAAGGCTGAGGTACTTTGGAGTGACACATGTAGCCCCTGGCCTAGCTGCCCCACAGTACCCCTTTGTGGCTCTGCCTAATGGTCATTGAGATTCTTGAAAAATTTTCTGGCGTGGTCCAGGGCCCAATGACCCTTATGTTCTTGCTCCAGGTGCCTTGAATACAGTGACATTCCCTGTCCTTTCCTTCCATCACAGGAAATGCTGAAGGATGAGGTGCGAACGCTCACTTATCGGAACTCCATGTACCACAACAAGCACGTGTTCAAGGACAAAGTGGTGCTGGACGTTGGGAGTGGTACTGGAATCCTTTCCATGTTTGCTGCCAAAGCAGGGGCCAAGAAAGTGTTTGGGGTGAGCATGCCACTCCCTCACTCACATTGGCTTCTGCAGAGTTGGCCCCTTGCCCTCTGTCTTCCCTAGCCCTTCCTAGAAGTACAAGCCCAAATCATCCCTTTTGCTTGGGTCATACCTTTTGAGGAGCAGCAGAGAAAATCAAGTGTGTCTCTTAGGAGGCAGGGCAGGCTCCCTGTCACCTAGGCATTGCTCCTGGATCCTTGCCCTGGGTACTATTAACATTTGCAGAGGATTTTGGCTTTCCTGAGATCATTCCTGAGGACATACCTTACAGTGCTTAGCCCTGCTGTTGGCTTGAGAGGCAGTGTAGTTACACGTGGCGCTCATCCACTTACTAGATGTGTCACCTTGGGCAGCTCACTTCTCTGTACCTCAATTTCCCCATCTGCAAAATGGGTATAATAATAGTCCCTTATTCATAGGGTGATTGTGAGGACTGAACAATTTTAATACACATGTAAATGGATGCTTAAGTCAGTTCCCAGTATATGGCAAATGCTTGGTGTCTATTCTTACAGTTGAGATGGGGGTACTTAGGAGGTAACAGGTAAGTCTCCTTCCTATTTTCTTTAAACACATTTTATTATTTATTTATTTTTGGAGACAATCTCACTCTGTTGCCCAGGATAGAGTGCCATGACATCAGCCTAGCTGCAATCTCAAACTCCTGGGCTCCAGTGATCCTCTTGTCTCACCCTCCCACGTAGCAAGAATTATAGACACCTGCTACAAGGCCCAGCTAATTTTTCTATTTTTAGTAGAGACAAGGTTGCTCTTGTTCTTGCTCAGGCTGGTCTTGAACTCCTGAGCTCAAGCAATCCTCCTGCCTCAGCCTCCCAGAGTACTAGATTACAGGCATGAGCCACCGTGCCTGGCTTACGTTTCTGGTTTTGTTAAAGGGAAAGTTGGTAGACTTAAATTTGACTGCTGTGACTGCTGTGACTGCTGCAGCCTCTCCAGGCTAGATGTGGAGGATGACTCTCTATGAGGCCTCCCAGCTGTCCCCTGGCAAGGCAGCTGTGTGCAGTCTGATGACAGAGGGCCTGGGAGTGTCTAGAGCTAGAAAGAAACTGTTAAAAAGAGCTCTGAGCTGCTGGCTGACATTTGAAAAATGCAGTGGGTCTAGGTCTGGGAAATAGGCATTAATCCTAGACCAGATGAAAAGCAAACTGCAGTCAGACTCCCGGCTTGTACATGAGCTGACCCATTTGCAGAGGTCCCCTGGCTGGGACATATCACAGCCTACCCTGGGAAGCCCCAGGCTCCTGGGTTGGCAAGAGCCCTCCAAATCCCCATGGCCACCTTCTGACTCTATATACTTGCCCCTAAGTTTCCCCCCAAAGAGAGTATTCCTCCTCCATGCCTGACTTGGGAAGCACTTAGCCATGGCTATTGAGGGTCTTTTGGAGGCCTGGGCTGTCCACAAGCTGCTGCAGACAGAGCCTTGTCTGGGAAACTGTGACATTCTCAGCTGAGGCACTATTGACAGGAGAGTCCTTCCCAATGCCCAAAGGCAAACCACACTGTCATCACTGTTATGATTGCTGGTCCACAGGGATGGAGGCCTCCGGCAAGGGACAGAAAACTCTCAGTGAGTTCATAGGGCAGCAGAGCTGGACTTTGGGCCACCCAGTGACCCGTGCACTTTCTCTCCTAGTGCTGAGCATGGTGTCCCTGGAGCCCAAGTCTTCTGGTGGCTCCAGCCAAGGAGCTGTCAGGAGCTCCCACTTGGCGCCTTCCAGCTGCGGTGACTTGGCTATCTGTCTGCCTCCCACCCTTCTCTCTAACAGCTCTCTTATAAATGGCTCCACCACCCTTGGCTGGGTGCCTTTCCGGATGGCTCATTTCACAGGGTCCCTCTCCACCCACTGCTGCCCTTCAGTGGGGAGGAGGAGCAATGGCAGGAGAGAGAGAGAGAGAGAGAGAGAGAGAGGAAAACCATAGTTGGCGATAGAATGTGGAGGTAGAAACAGAGGAAGAGGCAGGAAAAAAGGTTCAGGAATAGCTAGAGAAATGAGAGAGGGTTTCAGAAAAAAAGAAAGAAAACAAAGTAGAAAGTACAAAAGAAAAGAATGGGAAAAACGAAGGGTGGGGGAAGAGAAGGAGAAGATGGAAGGAAGAAAAGAGGAGGGAATGATTTAGCCCCGCAGCCTGGGCGACTGGGCAGTCAGTGCTCTGGGTACTACGCACACCAGGACACAGTTCACCCAGCACAGCCACAGGGGACGGGGACTACGGCTTTGTCCAGGGAGCACTGAGCCACAGTTACACAGCTGCAGAGGCCAGATGTGAACCCGGCTGCTCTTGCAGGTGGGGTAACAGCCCAGGAAGAGGAGAGAAGAGGAGACACCCCCCCAAGACAAAGGACCTATACCCTGGCCAGGGTTTGCCTCCTTAGTGACCCCTGCTGACCTTGCTGGTGCCCTTACCCTTCCTCAAGGCAGTGCCAGAGGGCGTCAGCAACTCCCTCAGTGCCCCTGTGTGACCACTTCTCAAGGGAATGCTCCATGACCAGGTCCCAGAGGAGCCAGAGGGGGCCTCCAAACGTGAATGTGTGTGGAGCCTGGGGCCATAGCACAGGCTAGCCTCTGTGGAAGATCGGCTGAGGGGACAGCTGTCCCCCTCACTTCCAGCATCCCTTGGTCCTCCCCTGGTAGCGCCCTCTAGGTCTCCCTCCCAGGTTAGGGCCTGAGCTCCAACCATTACCAAGAGGACCTCCTCTTAGCAAAAGTCGGCTAATCTCTCAAATCCCCTGGCCCTTTGTTTAGGAGATTTTGGAAGCCTGGAAAGACTTTCAGATGAAAAGGAGTAAGTTCTTTCAAAGGTGGAGCCCATGGTAGCAGTGAGACTGAATTTTATATGTGGGGGGGAGGGAGTGGGAGGATCTTAGGACCAACCCTGGGGTCCTGATCTGACATTTCCCAGATGTTCTCATCCTGGAAGTTGCCCAGTTTACGGTGGGAGGGCCGGGGTGGGGAGGAGAGTGTGGTGAGAGGCTCACACTGTGTTGGTATGACTCTGCCCTCCCATACCCTTCCTGGGAGGACAGGGGCAGTGCCACTCTCCCCACCTCTCCTGCCAGCCCCTCCTGAATCTGTGGCACAGAGATCCAGCCCTGGTCACAGGGTGGCAGCTGGGACCCATCTCTTGGCACAGGTTGCATCATTTTGTGGAAGGCCACTGGCCTTCTGTCGGGAGGTCTGGGTTTTTGTGTGGAGTCTGTCATGATGTTTTGTGTGGCCATGAGCAAGTCACCCTTCCTGTCTGGCCTCTGCCTCTCCATCTGTTCCCTTGGTGTTGGATGTGCTGTGACCTTTTTTGATGCCTTGCTCCTTCTTTGTTCTGTGCCCTTTCTAGATCGAATGCTCCAGCATCTCTGACTACTCAGAGAAGATCATTAAGGCCAACCACTTGGACAACAGTAAGACATACCTCCGAGTATTTTCCCATGGACGGAGGGGGTGAGGGGCTTGTACTTTCTTGTTGGGGTACACAGGGGGAAGAGTATGGAGCCCTAGGGCTTGGGAGGTGGAACGTCTAGCTGAGTTCCCTGGGTGGGACTGTGGCCATGTAGTTCCCCCTACACCATGCCAGCCAAGGGGTACATTTGTGCCCCTCAGCTCTCAGCAAGCCCTGCCTGTGGCTAAAGTTTTAGCTGCTGCAGCCTCTGCTTGGCCCCAGCTGTAGGCAACCTGTTGACTTCTGCAAAATGGCCACATTCCTCCTCTTCCTTTTCCCTTTCCACAGCACCAGCCACCTCTCTGTGCCACCTGCCTGGTGGCATCCTGGCCAACCCTGGGATGTGATCCTCCACTGCCCACAAGCCCTGTCCCTGCTGGGCTGTCCTGGCAAAGAGGCTGCTTTTGGGCATGGGGTCTTCCTCACGCTGGAATCTGGTTACAGGAAGGCGCATCCCTTTCCTGCCTTACCTCATTCCTTTCCCACGGCCGTGACATTGCCCAGTCCCTCCTCTTTGGAGCCAATTTACTCCCTGATCCAGAGAGTTCTTTGTGGCTTGAGTCTGTGTGTAAGACTGGATGCAGCCCCCAGGCTCTGTGCTCAGCACTGGGGAGAATTCAGGGGCATAGGCAAGGGCCCAGTCCCCTGTGGACATTGTGTCCCACTGAGCTGGGCCTGCTGTGGTGAGACCAGGAGTGGGACAGGTGGATAGATTCGGAGAGTGAGATGGAGTGGAGACAGGGCTGGCAGAGACAGTGGACTGAAGCAGCCTGGAGCAGTAGGCCAGGGAGGTGTCAGAGCTTCCCACAGTTTTAAACAGTGGAAAGGAAGGAGCAGGAGGGAAGGAAACTGTCTAGAGGAGTCTAGGGCAGGGGAAAGAGAAGCTGGAACAAGAGGAGAGGACAGGAAGGGAATATGTTGTGCCCCTCTCCAGGGAGCCTGAGCACAGATGTCTCACATGCAGGCCTGCCCGGGGCCAGGCACTGAGGTCAGCACAGCCTTCCCTCCTCGTGCTGTGCAAACTTTAGCTCCATGGATGAGGTCCTTGCCATGCTCCCCGCTGGCCTTTCAGAACTCCCCTGCTCCCCTCTAGGGTGCTTGCTGCCCTGATGTTCTTTGGGCCTGACCTAAGTAACCAGGTCCAGGTGGTGCCTGCCTTCACACACTTCTACAAACCCAGGCCACGTGGCCTCAGCCCTGTACCTGGCCTGTGTGCTGCTTGACACACTTGCTGCCAACCCTTTGAAAAGGCAGGAATGTGACTCTCTTGGCAAACTTCTATGCCTGCCGCCATGAGCCAGGCTCTGGGGATACAGCAGGGAACAAGACAGGTAAAGTCCCTGACCTCATGGAGTCCACATTCTAGCTGGCGGAACAGGGGCTACAGGTAATAAACCAAGAAGTAGATGCTAAAGGAAAATGCCAGATGGTGGTAAGCACTCTGCCATTCCCAAAGGAGGCTGATAAGACAGAGAAGGACCAGGTAGCAACTGTCAGGTCACATGCTCTCTGAGCAGGTCACATTCAAGCTTAAATTCGAATAACATGAAGGAGACAGGCTGACAAAGTTTGGAGGAGAGAATCCCAGACAGGAATCACAGCTGGTGCAGAGGGCTCTGGGCAGGATGAGCTTGGTATGTCCAAGGCCTGTGGCCAGAGTGTCGAGGGCAAAGGGATCAGAGGGCCACAGGGGCTGGATCCCACAAAGTTTATAAACCAGGAAAGCAAGGTTGGATGTTATTCCCGGGGTGCTGACGTCTTCAGGATAAGTTTAAGCAAGGGAGATGCCTTCTCTATGGAGAATGGGTGGGAATGAGTCTCAGCCAGAACTGCCAAGGAGCAACTGTGGGAGGAGAGAAGTGACCACTGTGGGAGAGGCTTGGAGATGGAGGCATGAGGACCTGCTGGTGCATCGGGTATGGGGATGAGAAGAAAACGAGGCGAGCCCTAACTCTTTCTGGCTTGAGTGACTGGATGTTGGTGGCTTGCTGCAGGCCACTCATGGGGGTGGCAGGAGGGAGAAAGAGCAAGAGCTCCCTTCTGATGTGCTAGATCTGTGATGCCCATTGGCTATCCAGGTAAAGGTGTGGAGTCAGATTGGGATGTATAAGTCTAGAGTTCAAGGAGACTCCATTTGTGGGAGTCATCAATATGTAGATGTCAGTTAGAGCTGCAGGGTGAGGTCACTTAGGGGCGGTGTGTAGCTAGAAGAAAGGAATGAGCCAGAGATAGGGCTCTCAAGCATTTCAACACTCAGAGGTCAAGCCCAGGAAAAGGGCCAGTGAGGGGGCCGAGAACACGCCATCAGCAAGGCTCATGGCTGTTTAGGAGCATGATGACCACCAAGCCTGGGAAGGAGGAAGTGGCCAGCTGCAGGGAATGCTATGAGCTCAAGCAAGATAAGAACAGAGAAGTGGCCACCTAGAGGTCATAGGTGTAGGCTCATTGTAGGGGTGGGGACGGAAGTCCAGTTAGAGTAGGTTCAGAAGAGACTGAGGCAAGGACCATAACTCTTCTTGCTGTGATGGGGAGCAGAAAGACAGAACATTAGCAACTGGGGATATGGTATGAAGGTGGGGAGTGGTTAAAGATAGAGGAGAAAAGGTGTGTATGATTCAATGGCACAGTAGGAGAGAAACTGCAGATACAAGAAATGGTAAATTCAGGAGCAAAGACCATGAGATGGTTGACGGGTTCCCTTTGCTTTGCTTTGTGGAGGGGTAGCCCTTGCCCCAGAGTAGGGACAGTTCCACCACAGCAACAAAGGGAAAGGGGGAGTGGGGTCAAGCTGGAGGTGGCTGGTGGTGGGAAGACCCAGGTTTTCTACTTCCATTTGCTCTCTGAAGGTGAGATGGAGGGAGGAGAGCAGGGCTGCTGGGGCAGTGAGGACTGCTGGGAAGCGCCCTGCACCAGTAGACAGATGTGACCATAGACATATGGCAAGTCCAGTCCTGATTGTTCCCTTCCCATGCTCAGTGGCCGGGGTGTGAGTGGAGTGGAAGGTTGGTTGGGTCGGGACTTTGTTGGGAGAACATGACAGGGGGAGGGAGAGCCAGAATTAATGAAAATGATGGTTAGAGAACCTAACCTGGGCAGGGAAGGGTTGATGAAGGGGGGATGGGATGGTGGTGCAAAGGCCAGGAAGTGATGGCAAGCACTGTCTGTGGTGGCCGTAAGCAGAACACCGTCCCCAGGTCCCCGAAAGGAATGCACTTCAGATACCTCCGACCTCTGGCTTGGTTTCCAGCCTCTCTGTGTTCACTCCAGGCGTCAGGGCTCTCCTGTGCCCTCCTCAGAAAAGCTCTTGAGCTGGGCTCCCTGTCTGCCTAGCAAAGATGGATAAACAAGACCAGTGGGTTTTCTCTGCATCCTCATGTTTCATCTGACGTCCTCCCTGGCTCAGATGTGGACACAGGCTAGGAGAGGCGAGTGGCTGAGCTGGGATGGAGTCCTTGGTTTGGCCTCGGTCCCTGTACTCTTTCCTCACTTTTTACTATGGACACAGAGGGCCACTACTGCCTGGCGATCCAGAAAGTAAACGTTTTAGGCAGATGTCTTCTTGGGGATACCGAGTCCCATCCCTGAGTTCTGAGGGGCTTCCAAACAACACGTTGCCCACTTCCCTCCCTCTCTACACCTGAGCAGTACTTCCTGCTCACTGAGGTGCTAGCCAGGCCCCTAACACACACTCTCTCTCTCTCATTGATGACTTATCCCTAATAGCGTCTGGGGCTCTGGATCTACAGGCATTCATAGCAGAGTGTGGGCCAGGCCTGGAGGGGGCCTGGAGTTGTGAGGGAGGAGGTGCCTAATGCCTGCTGAGGAATCCCTGACCTTTAGGCTCCATCAAATTTCCATCCATCTATCCACTCATTCATTCATTTCACTATGGATTCCTATTCTATTTAATAGGTTACACCTGTTACCGCTGTTTACTCTGACACTCAAATTGTGCCTGATTCAGTAGCTGGGAGCCCCTGGCTTCTGTCTCCCTTTGACATACCTCTTTCCTTTTTTATGAGTTTTCTGACTTTCTGGCATAAGACGATCCAGGCTTATCCTGAGCTTTCCATGCCTCTGTTCTGGAATTGGCCACTTATCCCAATTCCATTTAACGGACAATAGCATTTAGAAACTAAGATTGGGACTAGATATGCTCACCTATTTTAGAGTGTCGATGCTCTCAGGCCGTTTCCCTGGAGAAAGCTGGGGAGTATATGTGTCTGCTTGTGTGTATACATTTACATAATCTTTATTTCTGTATCTACATATCATCAAGTAGGAACCCGCATGGCGCCTTCACAGGGTTCCCTCCAGTTCTCTCCTTTCCGTGTTTGTGCCCCTTCCCTCACACTGAGAAGCCAGGCTTCCCTGTACTCTTTCCTCACTTTTTCCATTAGACAGTTGTGTTTACTACTCACCTGTGTATGGTTCCATGCCCCTGTATGAAATCAATCTCCTGTTGTCACCACTGCCTGTCCCTACAAATGCTGGGTCACTCAGTGTTGGGCTCCCTGCTGGGCAGCCTTCACCATCCCCCACCAGGCTGCCCTTCTGGGGCTGCCTCTCCCACTGCCTGGTCTCTGACATGCTGGGCCCGGCCATTCCGGCTCACACTTCAGCACTCTGTGCCGACCCGACCCTCAGCCCTTCCCAGGGCAGCAGGGCTGTCCGGTTTGCTCAGGCATTCACAGCAGAGTGTGGGCCAGGCCTAGAGGGGGCCTGGGGTTATGGGGGAGGAGGTGGCTAACGCCTGCTGAGGAATCCCTGACCCTGGCTCAGCCCTAACTCACAGTTTCAGAATGGAGTCAGCCCATGCCCTGGATTTTGATAGGGCAGGGTTGATTTCGTGCTATTGAGACACGGGCCCCCAAAGGGCCAACCACTGTTCTCCAGAGAATAGCTACCCCTGTGCCCTGTGCCTGTTCCTCCCCCTCCCCACACACACTTTACCAGGGAGGA